CTGGAAAGGGGGAGTGTGTCCCTCCCTGGGCTGATGGGACTTGCTCAGCCCAGGCTCCCACCCCTAGTTGCACATTGCCTCAGCCAGTGGCTACCTGGAGGCAGCTGAGCTGTTGCTGGAACACAAGGCCAACTTGAACGCCAGGGACCAAGATGGTTGGGAGCCATTGCATGCAGCAGCCTGCTGGGGCCAGGTGAGTAGGGAGAGGAGGTCAGGGCAGGAGGCTGGTGAGCCCTCATTCTAGGTGGGAGAGCAGAACTGGGCCTCCTGGGCTCCAGGGCAGGACACCACCATGGTTTCCAGCTCCCACTTCCCACTCACTCAGCCCTTTACATATCTGCAGAATATTTCCATTGCCCCAAGCCCCCCACTCTCCCTGCCCCTTGCCCCTACCTTGTTTAGGTGTCAAACCCCAGCTGCATCAGGGCAGTGTCAGGGGCAGCTTGGCTTGTGCTCACAGGTGCATCTAGTGGAGCTGCTGGTGGCCCATGGAGCTGATCTGAATGGGAAGTCACTGCTGGATGAGACCCCCCTGGGTGAGTGAGCTCCCCCAGGAGTTGAGTAGGGCACCAGGGGCATTGCCAAGGAAAGGGTGCAAGATCGATCAGGGCCCTTCCTTTTGCTGTTCCCTCAGATGTGTGTGGGGATGAAGAGATGCGGGCCAAGCTGCTGGAGCTTAAGCACAAGCATGAAGCCATCATGCGCTCCCATGACCGCCACAGGGGCTCAGGCTCCCTGTTGCAAAGGCGAACCTCCAGTGCAGGCAGCCGAGGGTGAGGCCTTCCCCTTGGATCCATAGCCACAGCCCAGCCTGCCTATCCCAGGGCCTGCCACTGGGGGGAGCCCACACCTGGGGCTACTCAGTCATTTCCTCTCCCCCAAACTTCCACTACCACCAACCCCTCTGATGCCTAGTTCTACCTTTGCCATCCCCCCCCTCCTCCTATTGGGTCCCCTTATCTCCCCATTTCCTGTCTCCCAGCATCCAGCCTCCTTTCTCTCCTTCTTCTAGTTCTCTTAGTTTATTCATTTCCTTTCCCCCTTCTTCCCACATTCTCATGGAAGGCACCATGCACCTTCTATCAAGAACTCTGCTCCTTGCCTTCAGGACCTAAGTGGTCCAGAATTCCTTGGAGTGGTTGACTGGCCCAGACTCCTGAACTGACATGAGAGCTATTCTAGGGCTCTGCCATCCAGCCCTATCCCTTCTTTTCCATCCTTCTCATCCCCCTAGAGGCAACTAGGTAGCACAATGGATAGGGTTCTGGACCTGGAGTCAGGAAGACTTGAGTTCAAATCTAGCCTCAGGCACTTACTAGCTTTGTGTTCCTGGGCAAATCACTTAACCTCTGCTGCTTCAGTTTCCTCAAATGTAAAATGTATATCATAATTGCACTTACCTCCCAGTATTCCTTAGAGAATTAAATGAGATATTTGTAAAGAGTTTAGCACAGTGCCTGGCACATAGTTTCCTTCCCTTTCTCCCTTCCCCAACCTGCCATCCAGCCGCTGCTTCTCCCCCTTTTCATCCCCTTCTTTCCCCTCTTCAGTTTTCAATCTTTGCGCTGAAGAGGCTCATGTTCCTTCCTATCTAGGTTTGAAACCCTGCCCCTAATGCCCATAGCCTTTGTCACTCAGAGAATAGTTTCCCATCCCCAGCCTTTCCAAGAACCCCTTGTACTGATACGAGGGAGCTGTGCTGACGTCAGAGGTGTTTCAGAGGTGTTCCGGGGTTGTGTACTCTTGCCCCCATTCTTGCCCCTGAGGCACTTCCCCCAGCTCAGCTGCAGGCTCTAGGGCAGAGTCCAGAGGGAGGAGGTCCTAGGTAGGTGTTCCTTGGGGTGGGGTGGGGGGTAGGTGGAGTTTCTCCTATCCTGGGCCCTGGGCCAGTGCCTGACTCTGACCTGACTCAGCTGGGAAAGCTGACTGGGGGAAGGTGACGTATCAGGTATACAAACTCTGACTTCTAGGGACCAGAGGGATCCCAGAGCAGGCAGAGACCTCAAGGGGATGTCCTTGTGTCCCCCACTTCAGGAAGGTTGTACGAAGAGTGAGTGTGACAGAGCGCACCCACCTGTACCGTAAAGAACATGCACGTGAGGCCATAGTGTGGCAACAGCAGCCATCCGCTGCCGCTGAACCCCCAGAAGAGGATGAGGATAAGCAGACAGATGCTGAGCTCCAGCCACAGGCTGTGGTGAGGGGCCCAGGCCCTAAGGCCCAACCTCTTTCTTTACCTCATCTTTTTTATCACTCCCATTTTCTGACCTCCCTGCCCCATCTTCTTCATATATCTCCATTTACCATCACCCATCCTTCAGTTACATCACCCAGGCCCTTTTTTCATGTCCTTTGCCCATCTCCAGCCCTAGGTCCCATTCCCTGTTTGACCCTCCTAACTCCTACCTGGACTCCTTTTTTGCCTGTAGGAGATAGACCCTGAGGCACTGAGACATCGAAATGGCGTTGCGGGGGCAGCCCCAGGGCCCCCCGGCAGGCACCTGTATTCCAAGAGGCTGGACCGAAGTGTCTCCTACCAGCTGTCCACACAGGAGCCACCTGTGCCTGGACCCCTCACTCGGGACAAGGCACACCATACGCTGGCTGACCTCAAGCGTCAGCGGGCTGCTGCCAAGTTGCAGCGTCCTGTGGCTGAGGACCTTGGGGAATCAGGGGGGGAGGAGGGCCCACCCTGTGCTGAAACCCAGCACTCTGGACTCCCTCGAACACCAGTCTACTACACCTCAGCAAGTGGGGACCCTCCCCTGTTGAAGCTGACTGCCCCTGCTGAGGAGGCCCCAGCTGAGAAGAGGCCCTGCTGTGGGATCATGTGAGGTGGACAGGAGTCATCCGGTGTTAGAGGCCAGCTGACCTGTTTCCCCTCTCTCCCTCTATCTCCCAGGGAAAGGGAATGGACTTATTCCCCCCACACTTCTCCAGTGGGGGTCTGAGGCACAAGGGCACTGTTGGGCAGTGGCCTGGCTTACTTCAGCCCAGTTCACTCTTTCCTCCCGCTTGGTAATGGTTGGACTTCTGGCAGTGAGTGAGACTGGCCAAGGAGTGAGGCTTGGGGCCCCAACCTACAGTTAGCCTTATATCTCTTGGGCCTGAAAGTCCTATATTTAGGCCACTTCACTTCCCCAGCTTTGGGTCCTAGAGTAGGGGTGGGCTGAAGCCCAGCTCATCTCCTCATTTCTGTCCTGGGGGAGCCAGGGGAATCCTCTCGCTTCAGGTTCACCCTTGCCTTATCCTTGCCAACCCACTTCCTGGCAGCTTCAGAACAGAGTATCCAGAGTGGGGGGGGAGTGGCACTGGGGCCTTGGTAGGAGAAGCCCTCGCTGAGGCTCCTTTGGGGACAGATGCCCTGGGTTTGGGGCAAGGGAGTGGGGGAGTCCATATTTTATTCTGTGAAACTTGATAAAGGAATTTTCTGCCATTGGTGTTGCTGTCTTTTTGTATGTCCATGAGAGATAATGTCTCTGCTTGTCACACCCCTATTCTCTGTAGGTCTCCAGAAAGTTTCATGGGCCCAGTGGGCTATACTAGTGGAGGGCTTACTTGTCCCCACCACTACCATCACTACCACCACCACAGATCGCATCTCTAAAGGGGGAATATTAGCACAGTGTGGTGGAAAGTATACTAGACTTTCATACAGGACACTTGGTTCAACTCCTACCACTTATCCAAGCTGTGTGACTTTGAGCAAGTAGTTTTTCTCTTCTGCAAAATGAGAGTGTTGAAACAGATTGTCTCTAAGATATCTTGTATCTCTAACCTATGATTCTTTGTCTATGTGTCTCTGTGTGTACAGGTGAGACAAATGAAAAACTCAAGAGACAGAGTTTCTGGATAATTAATGATCAATTCATTAATTAGGCTAGCTGATAATAAATTGATGGTCAGTGGTTTCTATTGGTAGTCAAAGCCCCCTAATGAAGGTACTGAATTCCTCAATATACTTTTAGAAAAGGAGGTGACCCTGACAGGTAAAAAAGCAACTCTGATGGGTGAACATTTAATGAAGAGGTGGGCTAAGAGTCTTCAGCTCCTACTGGAAACGTGGCTTGATCATGAGACTCAGCAGCCTCCAGCGATCTGAACAAAGTAATCCATCTCTACCGGGACCACTCTGGTTGATTTTCTCCTTCATGAGCTGGGTAGTCCTAAACTCCAACAGAGGGGTGCTAAATGCTCTGGGGCTGGAATTCACCTAGATTAGATTTTGTTTACATTCTAGGCAGAAATAAGATCTCCTAGTTGGGTGGGGTCCCACCCAAAACCTCCTAGCATATGCCTTGAGGATTAGGCCAATCTCCTCTGTCAGCCTCTTCCTTCAAAGACTGGCTGACTGACTTAAAGGGGCTGGTCCCTGAATGAGGAAATAAAGAGGAAAAAACCTTAATCCCAACTTAATTATTGGTAATTAGTATAATAGAAAATAATCATTTCTCTCATAGGTATATGAGGGGGAGGACCCAGCCCCTGTTTGAGAATAAGGCCCTGCTGGGCTAAATATCTGCTGTGGTTCCTCTCTCGTTTTCCCTGCCGTGGCACCCAGCCTGAGCTCTTTTAAACCCTATCCCTCTTGAAGCAAGTATGGGTTGGTTAAGAGCATGGTAGACGCAGGTGGAGCCAAGAGAAGTCCAGCTGGATTGAAGGGAAAAATGGGGAGAAGGGATTTCGTGGCCTGGAGGCTGGATGAACCAGGGGCAAGGTTACCTGGCCAGGGCTGCAGTGAGAAGGAAACGACCCAGTGCCTGGCCTCCTTCCATAGGGGGTGGATCTCACCTAGACCCTGGCCTCTTGCCTAGAACATGGGCCTCATGGTGGGGGAAGAAGGGGGAGTGAGGAGCAGGCTGCCAGCTTCCTCTTGAGCTGTCATTGGAGAAGAGGTTGGCATAGCCCAGGCCCTTCCCTCCCTCCTCCCCCCTCAACAAGCTGGCTAGGGCCCAGTGTATATCAGGATGAAGGCACCTTGGGGACCAGGATAAGGACTCAGCATTACCAAGGCAGGGCCACAGCCTCATCTAGGAAAACACCCTTGACTGGTCTTCATCTCAGCCCTCTGAGTGTCAGGGCCTATACCAGTTCTTTCTCTCCTCTTCATCCTTCTTAATCTATTTCAGACCAAGACCCCATGGGCCCAGGAGGTCTTCAGGTAGATCACATTCGTCCCTTGGCTTTAAGGAGCACAGTTGGCCTGCTGTCATCTCCATACCCATTTGCATTGGACCTGGCCCGGATTAGGTTCCCTGATGGCCTTGTCTCCATATACCTGTGACCTCTGCCTGTCTACCTTTTTTCCTGACTTCCTCTTCTTCAAGAGGCTAGGAGGACGTGCATACGAAGGGCATAGCACAGGGAGCCCACGATTGGGCTTGGGTGGTGGGGAGGGAGGGCCAGATGGGCGGGCTGGGGTTAAATTTAGTGTGGGATAGTGCAGCTGCTGCTGGAAAGGTCATTAGGGGGAGGGGAGCTATCTGGCCCCGCCCGGGGTCCAAACCCATATTAGCCTTGTGCACTGGGAGAGGGAAGGGCTAGAGTAGAGAGAAGCCTGCTGCCCACTTCATTCCAAGAGGTGAGACCTCTGGGAGGAAAGATGCACTTCACTCAGCCTTCAAGCAAAGGCAGATTCAAAGCCAGCTTTGGTGCCCTGGGCTATCTCTGTTAGTTGGCCCAGAGCAGGATTTGGGGGGGATGGGCAAAGGTAACTAGGCAGGGCAGAGTAGTGGTCGGCCTTAGGGCTGAGAACATGCCAAGCACAGCTGGGTTCAGCTATATGCAGTTATCTGGAAGCACAGCAAAACTTGGTTGGAGCTGCCTGAGGCTGGGCTGGGCCACTTACAGGTGGCCCCTAAAGGAAGGGAAAGGGAGGGGTGGGGCTAGATGAGGATAAGGGACTCCTAACTCCTCCTCCTGCCCACTGGTGGGGCCCTCTGACCATCTGCCTTCCTGCCAGGGGTAGGGAACTCGGAGAGAGGACCTGGGAAACCCGGACATTACTCACAAGGTGAGTGTGGGCTAAGGGGAGAAGGCTGGACTATGATCACACCCCAGACAGGTGTGTTAGGTAGAGGTGGTTGGAAGTTCACAAGAGTCGCTCAGGACTGGGAACAAAATGAACCCACACATCCTGATCTGTAACTTCAGGTTCAGTGACCTCTGAGTGGGTTCCCCTCCAGGCCTGGGGCTAGAGGATGGCTACATTGACATCCATCGTCCTTCAGACTACTTCCCTCCCCCAGATTAATCCCTCTAGAAAGTGTAGTTTTACCCTGTGTTCTCTTCCCCTCTCCCTAAACTCCTCGGTGCCAAGAAACCTGGAGGAGTTATAGTCTGGCAGATTAGAGAGAGGAGGTGGGGCCCTGAGAGCCTATCAATAGCTCCTTTCCAACTTCTCCCACCAATCAAGGGCCTAGAAGATTGGGGAACTAAGGATATCTCCAGATAGCCACACACCTAAGGTGTCCTCTTGGGGACGGATCTGAGCCCTTCCCAGGACACCTGCCCTCTCTGTCGTTCCTGCCCCAATTCTAGCCCAGTCCCTCTCCTCCCTAATTCAGTACTTAGTGTAAGGCTTGGGATCCGACTCTGCAGAAGCTCAGTAACTCCCTATTATTTCTCTTCCTGACCACCCTCCTGGTTTTTTCACCTGTGCCCATCCTTTCCCTTGAAGTTGTTCCCATCCCTGTTTCTGCCCTCTTCCTTTCCCTGTCTGTGTTCTCCTGAGTCCATGATCCTGATCCCTTCTCTGCTTCTATCTGTTCTCCTTTTCTTGACCTTGTATCCCCTATCCTGGTATATTTTCTGCCCCCATATGTGCCCTTGTCTGCATCTCTGCCCCTGTATCTACCATCCCGGTTATTCTAGCTGTCTCTGGACCAAAAGCTGTAATTACCTGAAACCAAGTTCATTTGGGGCAGGAAGTACAGAGGATGGTCCCAGTGAGGATGCAGTTGTATCAGTAGAGGCCCATCAGTTCCGCAGAACATAAGTGGTGGTTTTTGTGGACAGGAAAGAAATCCCTTTCCTCACCCCCTGCACTGTCCCATGTTGGCATCCAAGGAGCAAAGTCCCCATTCCACTTACGTTCTGACTAGCTCCCTTCTTGCCCTGTATTTTTCATCCTAGTCCTTCCTACTACGCTATCTCTGGGAACATTCCCACTTCCACCCCCCAGGGGGTGGGAACTCCAAGCAGGTGAGGTAGAAAGAGGCCTCCAGATCCATGGTCTGGACAGGCAACTACTTCCAGGCCTAGCTGGTTAATCAGACTCCTATCCCTGCTGTGCAGATCACCCTTTCTCTCCATCTCTCTGTCCTTGGTATCTGAAAAGTCTCTGTGCCCTTCAACCAAAGTCTAGAAACCAAGCATTTAGGGAAACGGAGCTCCCCTTCCAGGACTCTTCCAGGGTCTTTTCCCAAGAACAGGGCAAGCACAGCCTTGGGGTAAGGGCTCTGAATTGCCACCACCTCCAGGTCTGCATGGGGATGGGAGGAGGAAGGGAGCAGAGCCTGGGAGGTTGGAAGAGGGTTCCCTCCCCCCCCAACATATATCAATCTCAGGTGCTCATGTCAGCAGAGTAGGTATAGAATGACGGCACTAGAGTTCCCCAACCTCAACCATGATTCCTGGGGCCTTGCCCAGTTGCCACGGAAACAGAGGCCTGATCAGACAGAAAGATGAAGGGGCTGAACCTCCCCAGAACCCTGATGGGGTAACAGCCCAAATTCTCAGGGAAACAGCAGCTGTAGCACCACGTCCTCACATACACACTCTCTCCTGATGTGCTCAGGGACTTCCTCATCCCCAAGTCTCTGCTGTTTGGTCCCTCAGCTCTCTCATCTTTCTCTTCCCCATCTCTCTGTCTCTCCTGTGGTTGTCTGGGTTTCTCTCTCCCCTTCTTGCCTCAGCTATGTGACTGTCTCCCTGCTCCTGGCAGTGACAGGAGTCCTCCCCTAAGCCCCGCCTCTACCTTCCCTCCCTCCCCTCCCTACCCCTTCCAGGGGCAGAGCTATGCCAGGGCTGCTGGGGCGGGGCAGGGGGCCTGGGGCCTCAGCTCCCTTCTCACTCACTCCATTCTCTGTGGGACAATCCCGGATCTCAAGGCTCTGAGCAGGAGAGGGGACTCACCCTCTCCAGCACAGGTTTCCCACCCTCCCGCTCCTCCTCCAATTCCTTTGCCTGATTCCCAGGGACTACTTCCTTCCCTCACCACCTTTCTATTCCCTTCCCAGATGTCTCACTTCTTTTCCTTCTGACCCCTCCTCATAATCTCTTCTCTTTCTCCCCCTTCATTCCCTTCCCTTTCTTCATCCCCTCTTCTCCTAACCCTTTTCTCCCACATGTCCTGTTCTTCCCTTGTCTCTGATCTATTCTCCTTATGTCACTTCACCTACCACCCTCTCTAACCCCCTCCTTCCCTGTCTGCTCTCCCTTCTTGGGCCCTAAACTCTTTTTTTCCTACTTCCTCTTTGACTTTCTCCTATACTTTCTCCTCTCTCCTTCCTGCCTTTCCTGCTTGCCTAATACTCTTATGTGGTACCCTCCTGTACCCCTTCCTCCTCCTTTTCTCCCTCCTGCTCCCCTTTCCTGCCCTTCCCCCTTCAGTGTTCTTCCTCTGTCCCTCCCTCCCTCTCTTTGGACCCTCCCAGAACCAAGCTGCCTTATGCTGTCCTGAGGGGGTGCTGTATGGGATGCTAGCATGGCGTGGGGAGCTCTGAGTAGGCTTCATATGTTCCCCCCATGTAGGACCATGGCAAATAAGAACATGAAGCAACAGGTCATGAATGGGATTCGGGACAAGGTGCTGACTTTGGACACCATGAACCAATCTGTGAAAAACATCGAGTATGCTGTCCGAGGGCCCATCTTGCTTCGGGCTATGGAGCTGGAGAGAGAGCTTCAGCAGGTACTGTGCTGGGTTCCTCTCACCCCTTCACCCCCTTCCCAGACACCTGCTCAGTCCAAACCTGTCATCTCTCCTCAGGGTAAGCACTCACTCTCCCAAAGACCTTACCAACTTCCTTCCTTCCACCTAACTCCCTCCAGCCCCCTGAATGGATTGGTGAAGCACCTACTATGTGCTTAGCCCTGCCCAACCTCTTATTCCCAATCCAACTTCTCTTAGCCCTGGCCATACCTATTTCTTAAGGTTCTCTGTCCCCAGGGACAGAGTGCCCCCTGTCACTCTACCTATCCCACGGTTACATACCCTCCATGCCAACCTTTGCATATGCCCTGGGTCAGGGGCTCCATGTTCCCATGCTTGAGATTTTTCTTTCTGGAATTGAGATTACTCCAGGAACAAAAGGCCTTGAGTAATAGGATTAGAAAAGACACATAATAGAGGGGTAAGGAGGGTTCAGCCAGCATTGCCCTAGGTGTCCTGTCCAGGCAACTCTGGACTGTGGACAGGAAGAGAAGGTGGGCCAAAACTGTCTCAGTACCCTTCCCAATTGTGGGTTTCAGCTGGGAGGGGCACCTCTCTCAGACCCTCCTGCTCATTGCCTTCTCTAGTCCCCTTACCCTCACCCTCACCTCCCTCAGTACAGCTGTGGGGCTGTAGGGGAGAGGCTGAATGAGTAAGGAATTCATCCTGTGCTGTCCCACCCCTTGCCAGGGGCTCTATAGCTTGTCTAGGCAGAATGGGGCAGTCACTGGGTGAGGCCAGCCCCCTCACCCCTCAGGGTTATTTGGTTCTGGGAGCCCGGACAGCTGGGAAAGGAGAAGAGTGAGGAGTAGAGGGGGGGCTCTCATCCTCTCTCTCTCTCTCTGCAGGGTGTGAAGAAGCCCTTCACAGAGATTATCCGGGCCAACATAGGAGATGCCCAAGCTATGGGTCAGAAGCCAATCACTTTTATGCGCCAGGTGAGAGGACTTGCCCCTCCCCCAGTCCAGTTTAATACTTGTTCTTTCTTTCCCTCGGGTGACCCCATGGGCCCTCACTTTGTGCCATTCCCTCCTCTCACACATACACACAACTCTCAGGTCTTGGCCCTCTGCCAGTACCCAGATCTCCTGAGCAGCCCATCCTTCCCAGAAGATGCCAAGAAACGGGCAATGAGAATCTTGCAGGCCTGTGGGGGCCACAGCTCAGGTAAGTCCCTTCCCTGCCTGTTCCCATACTTGTCCCTTCAAGCAGCCTATCACTGGATTTGTAGCAGAGGAACCTGGTTTTGAATCTTAGCTCTGCTGGTTCTTACCTGTGTGACCTGGGACAAATCACTTCACCTCTCTGAGCCTGAGTGTCTTCATCTGTAAAATGAGGGAGTTGGATGGGATGACTTCTGAGGCCCCTTGCAGCTTTGACACTAAGACCTCTGGTTCTGAAGGGGAGACATGGTCCTGCCCTCAGAGAAGCTATGATCCAAAAGGGAGTGTGGCTCTGCCCACAGTCCCCATGCCCTTCTTTCTGACCCATATCCATCTTAACTCCCCATCCCTACCCTGGTTTAGGGTCTTACAGCGCCAGTGCTGGTATCCAGACGATTCGAGAAAATGTGGCAAGGTACATTGAGCATCGGGACAGGGGCATTGCTTCTGACCCTGAGAACATCTTCCTGTCCACAGGGGCCAGCAGTGCCATCATGGTACACCTCCTTCTTTCTTTGTCTCTTCCCTCCTCCATCTGATTTCCTTAGACCCCTCCCCACTCCACCCCCTGCTCAGCCCTTCCTCTAGCATAGGCACAGAGGACCCCATTGTACCCGAGCCTGGCACAGCTTCTGCTCAGTTGGCAAGGAAAGGGGGAGGAAGTAGGGTGGGTAGGATTCCTAATCAGGGCCAGTGGGTCCATGGCTTCAGAAATTCAATGGAAGTCAGGGGGAGGAGATAAAGGGTGTTGGCAAAAGGGAGCCCCTGTCCCCTGACCCCTGACTCAGCTTTTACCTCTCTTCTTCAGGCAGTGCTGAATCTGTTGGTGTCAGGTAAAGGAAAGAATCGGACAGGGGTCATGATTCCTATTCCCCAGTACCCATTATATTCAGCCACCCTGGCTGAATTTGATGCTGTCCAGATCAACTACTGCTTGAATGAGGAGCATCAGTGGGGACTAGATGTGGCTGAGTTGCAGCGGGCCTTAGGTCAGGCCAAAGCTCACTGCCAACCTCGGGTCCTGTGTGTCATCAATCCTGGCAACCCCACAGTAGATTTCCCTCACCCTTGCCTCATCTACTCCCCTGCCAGTCTGGCCCCATTGTCTACCCCATCCTCAGGCCCAGGTTCCCTTGGGCATCACCCTTCCCAAGTCTTGGATTGGGAATCTGTTCATGCATCTCATCCCCTGCCCCACCCTAGCCTTAGCACCAGGACAACTGCAATCCACCTCTTCCTCCTGTCCCCTTTTGTATCCTATAACCTAAAACCCAGGGCAGGTCCTGAGCCGTGAGAACATCGAAGCTGTCATTCGATTTGCCTATGAGGAGCATCTCTTCCTGATGGCTGATGAGGTGTCTAAGCAGGGCCCTGCCAGGGGGCATTAGGGCTGGGGGAGGGGAGGCCTCAGGGGTGTTTTTGACTGTGAATGTGACCTCCCTTCTACCTGGACCCTCAGGTTTACCAGGACAATATATATGCTGAGGCGTCCCAGTTTCACTCATTCAAGAAGGTGCTGATGGAGATGGGCCCACCCTATGCCCAGCAGCTAGAGCTTGCTTCCTTCCATTCCTGCTCTAAGGGCTACATGGGCGAGTAAGACACACGAGCATCGGTGCTCCCCTTTCTTGGCCAGGGAGACACAGGAATCCTCCCTATCCCTTCAAGCCAGGGAGATATGGGAATCCCCCTCCCTAATTAACAAGAAACCCTTATCCCCAGATTATAAGCCTTTCCTATCCCTCAGTACTGCTCAGACATGCCCCAGGCCCTAAGTCCTCCTGGGAACCCTCCCCCAATTCCTTAGTCCTTCTGATCCTCTGATACTCTTCCTAGATGTGGGTTCCGGGGGGGCTACACAGAAGTAGTGAATATGGATCCTGCAGTAAAGCAGCAGATGTTAAAGTTCCAGTCAGTTCGGCTGTGTCCACCAGTACCAGGGCAAATTCTCATCGACATAGTGACGAATCCCCCCCAACCCGGGGAGCCCTCTTATCAGCAATTCCAACAGGTGAGTAGGACCAGGGCCAAGGTAGATGGTGGGATGGGATGGGGCACCCTACAGGCTGGGAACCTTCCAGTAACAATTCCAGGGGTAAGTGGTGCCAGGGATCACAGACAGAGTCCTAGATTTAAGTGACCTCTGACATCATCTGGTCTTAACCCCTTCATTTTGGAGGTGAGGAAACTAAAGCCTGGAAAAGTGTGTGGACTTGCGTAAAGCCACACACCTAAAAAAATAGGAGAGCTGGGACTTGAGCCAGGTTCTTACTCCAAATCCAATCCAGCAAAAACAGAGAGCCCTAGGGGTTCTGGGTGCCAGGGATGATCAGACCTGGTTTGAATCCAACATGAGCCTTGTCCTCGTGGAGTTCACAGTCTGATGGGGGAACGAGGGACAATATTACACAAGTGCATGAGAAAAGAGCAAACAAGGTGCTTCATGAGTCTGGGGGGGAGGTTGTAACCAAACCAGAGGTGGTGCCCTAGGAGTTGGGCCTTAAAGGATGAGTCAGAGTCCAACCCGTGGCATGGCTGCCAAGAACATAGGCAGACCTTTATTCCACAATGAAGCATTTGAGGGAAGATTTACTGAAAGCTGTTTGAAATATTGAGGAAAGAATTCAGCAAACCAAGAGTACAAGAGAGGGCATCCCAGGCCCAAGGAAGAGTATGGCAGAGGTATGGATTCCAGAGAGCACAGTCCATTCTCAGGGTGCAGAGAGCAATCCAGTATGTGGCTATAGCATACAGCATGGGGAGAGGAGTAACAAATGTTGGGAAAGTTAGGGTGCCAGGTCATGGAGGGCCTTGACTGCCAGGCCAAAGGCAAAGGGAGACAGGAGAAGAGCCTCTAGTGAAGGCAGGTGGCTGTGAGGGCACGTACTTGAATGATGGTAGTGGGAGTAGTGAGGAAGAGATGGATGAGAGAGATGTTGAGGAGATGAAACCAACAGGATCTGGTAACTGGATAGGAGAAGTGAGGGGACGAGGAGGAGGAGGAGGGCCAGATAACAGGTTCTCAAACACAGGGGCTGGGTGCCCTGGAGAGGCAGTGCAGTCAGAAAGAGGAGGCAGCTTGGTTAGGGGGAAACACTGGCTGGTAGACATTCTGGATTGGAGGTGCCAGTGACACCCCAAGAGGAGGTGTCTGCTTGGTTCTTGGGGTTGTGATTCTATGACATCCTCAGAAGAGAGACACAAACTCGGGAGTCATCTGCAAAGATGGGATGTCAGTAAATCGGCAGATGTTACACACCTGCCCTGCTCTACAGCTACAAGGGATTAAACAATCCCTATTGGTCAGAAATTTATGTTAGATCTAGTGAGGGAGATATGAGGATGAATGGGATTATTAAGGGAGAAAGTGTCAATAGAGGTGGAAAGGGGCCAGGGGCCGACCCACACTGGGCCAGAAGGAGGTTGAGGACACGGTGGAGACAGAGGACTGGACAGAGAGATAGAAGAATCTGGGGCGATGTATGCTGCCTCTGCCCCAGGAGGAGGAGGAAGAAAGTAGTCCATCAGTCACAGTGTTTAAAACTACAGAAAGGATGAGGGTAGAGAAATCACTCTGGGATCTGGCAGTTAGGACATTGGTGACCTCAGAGTTTCAGCAGAGTATTGTAGGGATCTAGCAAGCTGTCTATTCCATGAGACTGTCTCTCTGAAGTTGTGGGGTGAGGGGTGGCCAGCAAACTGGCCAAGCCCTGACTCTTCTTCCAACCCCAGGAGAAGAAGGCTGTACTGGCAGGGCTGGCAGAGAAGGCCCAACTCACGGAGAAGATTTTAAACAAGCAACCTGGCATCCAGTGTAACCCAGTGCAAGGGGCTATGTACTCTTTCCCTCGCATCCAGTTACCCCCCAAAGCACTGCAGCGTGCAAAGGTGTGAGGCAATCCCCCCTTGGGGTGGGGAGTGGGGAAGGGCTATGAAGGGCTGGGGTGGGTTGAACTTAAGGGGCTTGATCCCTGATGTGTGTGTGTGTGTGTGTGTGTGTGTGTGTGTGTGTGTGTGCACGTGCGTGTGTGCATGTGTCCGTGTCCATGTTTCTGTCTCCTCTCTGTTGCTGCCCAGGAGCTGGGCCAGCCTGCTGATATGTTCTTCTGCAAACAACTCCTGGAGGAGACTGGTATCTGCGTGGTGCCTGGCAGTGGCTTTGGCCAGAAGGAAGGCACCTACCACTTCAGGTAGAGGGTGGGGGGTTCCACTGAGAGCTTCAAGCCACTGACTGAAGGGCCCCTTCCAGAGCACTGAGGGGAGATGCTAACCACTGACTTTTCCTCCCCTTCCCTTCCACCCCCAGGATGACCATTCTTCCCCCTTTGGAGAAGCTGAAGATCCTTCTAGAGAAACTGAGCCAATTTTATGCCAAGTTTACTCAGGAATATTCCTAATGGACAGAGACTGCAGGGGAAAGAGGGGAGGAGACCTACTTCTACCTGTCCGTTATCCAGCTCTTCTCTGCAAATAGCTCTTGGGACCCTGCCTGTTTATGTTTCCCTCCTTTCCCTGTGACTCCCTCTCCCTTCCCTGGGGGCTGTTGGGGAGAGGGTGAGAAATACAGGGTGGTGGACAGTGCCCAGAGGTGTGCACAGACTTGGAGAGAGGCGTGGTCCCTGGCATCTCTCTGAGGACCCCAAGTGAGAGCCTTAGGGATCCTTGGGAGATACTGGGGTGGAGGGTATGAACCCCTGGGCCCTTCTTACAGGGCATCCTAATAAAGATATTGAAGAGGTTCTAGTGCCCCTACTTCTTAGGAAGAGCAATAAAGGGGCACGTGACTTTGTGACTCCTGAGGGTCACCTGGGCCTGGGACACATGGCTAATGTGGCAAAGCCATAGAGAGCCAACCCAGCAGCCTGACCTCCTCTCCCCTACGTTCCTCTTCACTCAGCCTGAGAGTCATTAACCCTCCCTCCCCACCAACTCCTTAGAGGTTGGCTCTCTCTTAGGCTTCCACTGTTCCTACCAACTGTTTCTGGGCTTCTGTCAGGCTGATTGGTGCAGCTTCAGAAATCCTCTCCCCCCAGACTCCTTGCATTCCCACAACTGTAGCTAGAGTCTCCACTGGATAGACACAGGGACAGCCTCGCACTATCCTTCAGGGTGAGGAACAAGCCAGTTTAAAAATCTAATAGTCTCTTATGGGGGGAGCCTGGTGATTAACCCTCAGGAGGCAAAGATTACACAAGACACCCCCACTCACAGTCTACTAGAAAAATGAAATGTCTGCTAAGAAACAAAGGCATGATAGGACAGTCTCAAGGGCTAGCTGGAAAAGAGAATGTCAGGTAGAAGTGACTTCCTGATGACAAACAAGAGGTAGTGTGAAGTATGAAAAGGAGGGAGTGGCTTTGGCCAACCTGGGCTCCAATCCTGGCTCTAACGCTTAGTACCTGTGGGAACTCTGGCTTCCTTGGACCTTGCCTTGTTCACCTATAAAATGAGGGAATGGTGCTAGATCATCTAAGATTCCTTCAAGTACCACCTCCTGTAATCCTGAGTCAGCCTTCCCTGGATCTGCTCCTCCTGGGGCACCTTTGCCCTTTGGTTTCAGGGCTTTCACCTTTTACTGCTTTGGGTGCCTTCTTTTATCATGGAACCACACCCTGAGACCTCTGAGCATCTTCCACACCTCCTCTCACCCACCCACCTCCAGCCTACTTGGTGCCCTGGGTTCTGATCAGATACAACAACACTAAATTCCCCCTACTGCAGGCTCTATAGTCTAGCTCTTCTTTCCCTTGAGTCACTAGCTCGTTTCTCACCCCAAAGCACAAATTGTGTCTTCTAGAGTTTGTTCACCAGGATACAGAATCAAACATAATTCACTAGATCATTATGCTTCTGGACAAAAAGAAAATGTCCTTGTCCCAGGCTGGGGCCTTTGAAAGTTCGATAGTTCCTAGGCTCTAATGGACTCTTGATTCCCATACATTCCTTCGGGGCCCTGTAGCATCTTCCACTGTCTCCAGCCATAAAATGCCCACCTGCCAATTTGAGATTTGTCTATCTACATTGGCTCAGGTGAGCTCATTGATCTAGGCTATAGTCCCCAGCTCTACAGCCAATATGGAAACCTCCCCTTTGGGTTTTGCTTCTCTACCAATTGTATCAAGGACTCTCTGAGCCAGATTCCTCCTTCCATGCCCTTTTCCCTGTAGCCTAGACAAGAACAGGAAATGTAACAAGTACAGAAAGAGTTCTCATCATCTCAAAAACAGGAGTTCTTACCTGGAAGATCTCTGGATTCACATCTCACCTTATATTTCTTTCTCTCAGCACCAACCCTTCCCCCCCCAGCCCAAATTTCAGTATTTTTAATTGAAAAGTCAACACAAGGAAGCAAGCAAGTGAATTATTTCTTAATAACTTAACAAGGATCATTTATTTGATGTCTTCTGAGAAGTCATCGAATCATACCCAGAGGCAGTCACTAATGTTCTAAGAAAAAGCCAATCATAGATCTTGGCCAGGGTTAACCTATTCGGGTTACCACTTAATTTCCCCCAAAAGCAGGGGAATCCATATACTTGGAACTTTTGATTAAAAAATGGAAGTCCGTGGGGTGTTACAGAATTTCAAATTTGGAAGGGACCTCAGTGACTTTTATAATTCAGCCCATAGTTGAAAGAAACAAACAAAAACCATCTACAACATGCCTGACAAGTGGTTGTCCAACACATGCTTAACAATTTCCAAAGCGGGGGGAAAGAACTTCCCGCTACAGTGGCAGTCCCTTGCTGCCTACCCCTGTGGGCTACTTGTGGTTAAAGAAGTACAAAACCAACTGGTCTATCACCTTACAGTTGTAAAGGGAATAGTAGATTTGTCTGAGACCTTTAGAGACCATCTGGTCCAATCCATATTTAAACAAGAATCCTCTACTATCCTCCTGCGCTCTGTTATAGAGACTTCCAGTTTAAGAAACTCACTACCTTCTGGGGCATTCCATTCCACTTTGTTGTTAAGTCATTTTTCAGTTGTCTGACTCTCTGTGACCCCATTTGGCGTTTTCTTAGCAGAGATGCTGGAGTGTTTTGCCATTCCCTTCTCTAGTTCATTTTACAGGTGGAGAAACTGAGGCAAATAGGGTTAAGTGACTTGCCCAGAGTCATGCAGCTAGTAAGTGGGGCCAGATTTGAATTCAGGAAGATGAGTCTTCCCGATTCCAGGCCCAGCATTCTATCCACTTTGGGACAGCATTAATTGTTAGCAAGTTTGGCTTAACATCACACCAGTTTCCATCTCCACTTTCTACCTGTTGCTCCCTCTAGTTCTCCCCTTTGATGACAAAACAAATCTGATCTCTCTTCTATGGGACAGACCTTAAAATACTTGAAGGCCACAATCACATTTGCCCTAAGTCTTCTCTACCCCAGGCCAAACATCACCAATCCTTGCATTTGGTCCTTATAGGGCATGTTTTCCAGTTACCATCTGATGCCCAGTGCAGTTGGCCCCTATGGCATGGGATGGGTTGCCCTCCTCCTCTGCTGTCCTTAGACAGCACCCTTGATCTGGCATTTAGGATAGAAATGGGTTTTCTGGGTAGAAAGATGCCTTCTTACTGCCTCCAGTCTCCCTTTGCTGTCTCCTCTATCTCCCCCTCTGTCCCTTAGATGGGAAGTGACAGCCCCCAGAAAGGCCTGGTCTGACCTCTTTGAGTCTGGTTTCAGGCATAATAAAGCTGGGTTATCTCCTTTGCTAGTGCCAAATCAGTAAATACATATTTAGGGCTTATTGTGCAGCTTCTGGACTTGACTTTCTTGTGACTTTGACCTCGTCAGCACTAGCACAATGCCTGGTGACTTGGAACATGCACACTGAGTGCCTGCCCTAGACCTCCTTCCTGGTGGATGCAAGCTTGGAGGACTTCCATTACCCGGCTTCCACAGCTCCCTTTCGTCTGCCCACTGGCAAGCCTGATTCTGCCCTACCTTCTTGCTTCCCACTGGAATTAGCAGCCCTTCCTCCTCCTCTAGGTTCTTAGCTGTGAGTCATCAGCCCCATGTCCCCGGGTAAGGCCATCCCCAAATCTCATCACGTTTTTTGGCCATCAAACTGTCAAACAGATATTTTCTGGCTAGCAGTTCTGTAGTAGGGAGGAGCTATAGCCAGAATTGTATAGGACTCTAGGAAGAGAAGCCCTGCTTGAGAGAGGTAATTTAAGGAAAAGGAGCCAACCCATATGGAGCTAAAGTTTCAGAGGATGTGTGTGTGTGCAAGGAAAGAGATGATAAGACAGGTGTAGGAAGGAGACAAGAGGGGAATAAGTAGTGGGCTTACTCATAGAAGGGACCCAGTTAACTGATAGATAAGAGAGTGGGTAAGACCAGGTGAGAGGGGCCAACCTGATCATCCCATCTTATTGCAGCATGCCCATCCTAATTTCACTTTTCACATTCTTTTCTATTCTAATCACCCCTCTTCTTCAGGGTCCCTGGTTGGCAGGGGTCCACTCAGCACCTGGTCTCTTCTGCTGTGCCCTTTAGAACCTCCCCTTTATGATTAACAAGTGGCTATATCATCAAGCTTTTCAACCTACACACTGTTGCCTTGCAACTTTTACCACCAGTGTCCATTCCTTCTCCAATTCCTTCTGACCCAAAGCTCCAAAAAGAGGGATTAACACCATCCTGGTTCCCCACCAAAGCCCTTATTGGGAATTATTGTGCCTGGGGCAAATTCAGTTGTCTGGCTTTGGGATAAAAATAGAAAGGATAGTCTAATGGGTGATGGCAGAAAGGGCTGTCCCAACAAGAGGGAAGTTACCTGGGGAGAGGGCTTGACTCATCCCTCAGGGACTCTGGCATTGGTGGGATGAGGAACATGGGCTGTAGGACTGGGACCCAATTACTATGTGACAGTCAGTAAATATTAAGCATCTGCTATGTGCCAAGCACTGTGGTGAACACTGTGGAGACAAAGAAAGGCAAAAGACAAGCCCTGCCCTCAAGGAGCTCACAATCTAATGGTGGAGACAACATGCAGACAACTATGTACAAACAGTTAGTTACATGCATACAAGGCACTAGAATTAAGAGCAACTGAGAAGGGCTTCCTGTAGAAAGTGGAACATGGGGGCAGCTAGGTAGCACAGTGGATAAAGCTCCAGCCTTGGAGTCAGGAAGACCTGAGTTCAAATCCAGCCTCAGACACTTGACACTAACTGTGTGACCTTGGGCAAGTCACTTAACCCCAATTGCCTTACTTTAAAAAAAAAGATACAGACAATAGAAAGTGGAACATAACCCTGGAGGGGTTGCTTCCGGTGCCAATGTAGGACTTTTACAGGAAGGGTAAGGATAGATTCCTCCATAGGGAGGAATAGTGCCTCTGTTTCTTCCCCTGGGTGTTGGTGCCCTGGGAAAAAGCCCCATTTGCCCTTTGCTAGTGACACCTACACTCTCTACTTCTCTACTGTTGTTTCCAATTCAGTTTTCTACTATCAACCCCCAGTGACCTTTCATCTTTCAAAGTACAT